TCTGTCCTGCAGCGAGGGCAGGCGAGACGAGCCCACCACAGCATCAATCTCAGCCTGGACCTTCTCTGAAACAGAGAGAAACTAATCATTATTTTGGTTTCACTTTTTTTTCTTTTTTTTTTTAAAGATGGCTTATTATGCTAAATATTTTTGGAGCTTTCTACCATGTTATTCCCTCATCAAAAACATGTTGAAGAGGTTTTAGAAAGAGAGCATGGAGAGTAAAGAGAGAGTCGACAAACATGAAACTTGTTAATAAGTTGCTTCTTGTAATTAAAGTATAAAAGCTAACATGGTGATCTAAATATGTTATGTGTTAGCAATTAAGAAGTGTAATACTCCCTCTTTAAGAAATGACAAATTCAATGATAGAAAGGCAGTGTGGGAGAATATAAAAGTGCAGTCGGAGTTAACAAAACACAATTGTGACTGAGTTTCTATATTTGATCTAATAATATGCAGCTCTGAGTAACAAGTTTAAGATATCAAACCCACTTTGGATGTGGGGGTGGTAAGTCACAAACAGCAATGCCCAGGTCAGTGTTGTTGTGGTGGTCTCTGTGCCAGCAGAAAACAAATCCAGGGCAGAAATACATAAATTCTTCAGATCAAACCCAGCCTCTTTGTCTTCTTTCTACGAATGAAATGCACACAGCATATACTATTACTTCAGTATAGGCAAGGGCATTACAAGAAATGTAAATAGTAGACCAAAGTTCTTTAAAGATTACATAATTTTGATGTGTCAAGCATTGAAATTTTGTTAACAATGATCCAAATTTAGTCATCTAATGAAAAATGCCCTAAATCTGGACTAATGATTAACAAAACCACATCTTAGACACTTCACCTTCCGAACCCTCTTCACATGTGGGTGGAGCTGACAGCTCACCTACCTCAGCTATTTCTGAGAGGAAGCAGTCGATATAGTCTCGTGGGTTGGATGGGTCGTGGGTTTCTCTGTGTTTGTCAATCTTAACTTGAACGTAGTCGATTATGTTTTGAATCAGAGTGAAAATTCTTTGGTGAGGTCCAGGGAGCCTCTTCATCAGCCAGGGGGCGACATTGTAGATCTATCAGGAGAAGTACAAGTGTGATTGTGTAATTATTATTGTTGTAATGTTGTTTGGTAAAACATTTTACACTTAACACACCATTCAAATATCTAATAAACATATTTACGGAAAACAACGTAACTTTATTTCTTTGTTTAAAAGGGAGTATTATGCACCCACACTCCTACATGACAATTCGTCATAAATACACAAAAACATGATACAAAACTGTACACAGCAACTTGACAAACCTGTTGCGATGTGCAGTAGTTTCATTAGTGGGATACATTCTGATTTCTAAGAAGGGAGAGTGACTTACTGAAGGAACCAAAGGAGGGGGAGACTCAGAGTGTAAAAAATCTATATGACACTTTTAAAACATATTAATACATTGTTTTGGGCAAGTATAAAATTTTCATAACAATAAAAGGTAACATAGTGATCTATGATGTTATGGAGTTAATATCCCTCTCTTTAACCTGGAAAGTGAAAAAAATGGATGCAATTGAAAACTGACCTGGACCCACACACTGCCTTGTACTTCCACAAGCTCTTTGAAATCAATCAAAATCTTCTGATGCTCCTTGTTGTTGTACTCCAAACGTTCCCCAAACACCAAACAGCAGATGATATTTGACACAGCCTTGTTTAAAAATATGCGAGGGTTAAAAGGTTCACCTGTAACAAACAAAGACAAATAAACATTAAACAAAGCAACGACCATTTTAAGTTTACCTTGGAATTGGGTGAGATTCAGAAAGATCCTTGAAGCTCTAAGAGTTTGACTGAGTCTTTGATTATTGCTATAACACAGATTATTACAGACTATTGTCATACTTTGGCTAACCCCTCCATCAGAAAAAGTTAGTGCCCCTTTATAGAGTATAAAAGTTTATGCATAATTGTGCACGTCTCCAAGTGATGTATCAAATAACACAATGATTTATACCACATGTGGCAAGGTCAAGGCCCGTGGGCCACATCCGGCCCGCCAAGCCATTTTATGTGGCCCAAAAGGGGTTAAAAGGTATAATTTATTATTATGTTGTGACTCTGTGCCGCTACTACATCTCCCATAATGCACCGCAGTTGTTTCCCGTGAAGTAACTATCTCGCCACCAGAGAGGTCAAGAAAACTCATCAAATTTCCCCAAAAATGTCCAAGAAAAGAAAAATGTACGCAGAAGGATGGCTATTTCATGAATGTTACTGAAGGAGTTTCATAAACAAAACACTTTCCCAAGTGCTGCACAATACAGATAAAACATAATACTCGTACTAATGTAAAGCTCTACTTAAAGCTACTAGTCCTCATTAAGACAATAACACTAGTAATATGAAAATGAAATGAATAATCAGATACAGACTTTTACACATTTGTAACATACTGATATTACAGTTACAGTTGCAGTCTTAACTTTACAACCGGCCCTTTGATGACAAACATGATCTAAATGTAGCCCTTGGTGAAAATGAGTTTGACACCCCTGTTTTGAACAGTTTGATTTATTTATTATTTTCCTCAAATCTTTAGCATTTTCCTAGTGAAATTAAAATATAAACAGTTGTACCTTTCTGTTGCTCTAAAGCCTCTGCCAGATACTGGCACTCCTGTTGAATGGCAGGTTCCAGTGACTTTTTGCCCAGACCGAAGTTTCTGAGAGTGTGAAGAGCAAACCGTCTCTGCTGCTTCCATAAGTAGCCATTGGATGCCACAAGACCTGCATGAATACACAAAAACATTCTAAAAGATGGTAAAGTAATACAATATGTAAACCTTAACCTTAAAACACACCTGAATTCCCAATCAGGTCTTCGAAAATAGGTAAGGTGGGCCGGTCGATATAGTCCTCTCCTCTGACCGCCAGAGCCTCTTTCACAAGTTTGTATCCGTTTATGACAACCATGTTCCCCCCAAACAAACGAAGGCTGAAGATGTTCCCATACTTCTTTGCAAACTGAGCAAACAGAGGGCATTGCAATTTAACATTGATTACATTGACATTTTAATTTATTTTTTATTACTATCAACCTGACTAGATTAAACTAAATGTCTATATAAACTGTGTTTAAATTAATTTTAAAAGTCTGTATGACTTTTGAATATTAATTTAGTTTATATAGATTAGTAGATTTGTTTAGTTTATATAGTCAGTCTTTTGTTTACTGTGATGAGGCAAGAACCAAATTTTCTTATTGATTTCATGGCTAAGTACAATGTAATAAAAAAGATAAATGCATAAATGTTGAACCTCATAAGCTGCAGAATGCAACTTTTTGTAACCTGCTATTCTCCACGGAGACTTCTTTGCCTGAAATGCTCTACAGAAGGCTGTACCATTAAATTCTACATACATGAAAACAATAAAGCAGAATAGATCCTTTCAAGGTGTAGCAAAACATACGAGCCTCAATGGGAAAATGAAGTAGTAAACCTTTAAAACTTTACGAGACTGTAGGACAAGCTGGCCAGGCAAGCCTAACTGTGGGCTAAAAGTAAACATTTGAGTTTTTATTTGAAGTTAATGAAATTAGAGTTTAGATTTGGCCTACAAAATTATGAATAAAATCTTGTTAGTCAAGAAACTGAAAAAACGAAGTGGTGCAAGAAACACGTTGTTATTACGTCACAACCTATCGTCGTATGCGACTACGTACCTGTGCGAAATCCAGGTGAATTGTTGAAGGTTTAATGCGGGGTATGTCGCCAATAAAAGGAATCGGCCACGGTCCAGGAGGATAGTTTTCAGGCCGCCAGTATTTGACAATATCGGCAAAAAGGGCAAAAAGGAATAGAAATATCAAAATGCTCCTATAATCTAACCACTCCAGCCCGAGCACCTGGTACAATGCCTCCATCTCTGAGTGTCGTTTGAGCTCCGTGGCCGCCACTTCCCAAACAGACCAAACACAGATTACACAACCGTGAAATGGATTTATAACAGCTGTCTAAGACACGCCCCCTATGTAACTCAGACCCAGAAAGAATGGTCCCATAAAGCGCAATGCAATGCTCAAAATGACACTGCACAATCAAGCTTTTAATAACAGTGGTAAATTGTCCAAAGTGGGTGTCACAAGATAACATGTTGAACAGCATAGTGTAATAACTTTTGTTTCCAGATATATCAGATATTTTGGTGTTTCCCTTCTATCAGTCTACTGCCTCTTGGTTGCATTTTTGACAGAAGATATATTGCGCAAATTCTAACATCTAACAAAAGCTAACGTAGAAAAATACTAAACAGTGTATAATAACTATTTTCGGTATGATACAACTTCACGTTATTCAAAAAATTGCTTAAGGAAATGTTTTAATGTATCTGCCCAACTGTGTACTGAATATGTATTTCACCTGCATCACTGAAAACCATAATGATTTATAATGTATTTCTACTTAGTTTGGCTGGCTCTCCTATTGCTCAAGTAAGTCCTGAGTCCAAGCAAATCCAGTGGGGCTATCACAGCTGTTTTTGTTTTGGTTTTTTTGGGGTTTTTTTTTTTTACTGGCTTAAAACATGTGTAACTGCTATCTAGAGACGAGATGAGACACAAGATTGAGAAATGTGCTAAAATGTCTCTTAAAATGTATAAATGAAATGTGAAAGGACAATATAATTACACACATAAGAGCAAAAATATTAATATACTCTTATGAACATGAGTTTGTTACATTTCTATAATGAATCAGTTATTCTTTTAAACAATAAAGCTGATTTTCTAATTTGGCGTATCTGCGTAGTTCCTATATTTTATAAACTGTAATTTATTTGTGCAAAATGTTATATTTAGTTGAAGGAATGTCCTCATCTAACCCCCATCCAGGCATGCAGACACAGCCCCCACACTCTCATCTGGTTTTCTCTTTGCCTTTAATGGTCCCAAATGGTTAACACTATCATTTGTCTAATAGCTGTTAGTCTTGATTAATTTTTGAACACTCACCTTTGTATCTTTCTTCAGTTGTATGATGTGTTCCCTGGTCTGATGAAGTACCACATCAGAAAGTCCACAAGAACTATTTTCAGATCCTAGACTTTCTGATGGCAGAAATAAAGAAACACCAGGAGGAAGTAAACCCAGATGATCCTCGTGACTTTATCGACGTTTACCTGGGAGAGGTGGAGAAGGTGAGACAAGACAATTGCTTGAAAACTACAAGTCTAAATTCATGATGTTATTGCTAGGGGCAGTAAAATCACTATTATTAAATTGAAAATGTTCTGGTTTGGTTGGTTCTGACCAAATAATGAATGTGGTTGAAATAAAGCATCATGTTTAACATTTAATGGTGTCATAAGTAGGTGACTTGTTCAGATGACTACTCTTTAAACCTTTGATATCATCGTTCTTTTAAATTTTTAAAATATTAATGCCATGACTGTAGCCTGTTGATTCTTATTTCTACTTTATTTAATGCTTTGTTATGAACAGATCAACAGTGACATGATGTAAGAATGGTTTAGCATCAATATTCATTCATGTTTCATTTGATTAGAAGAAGGAGGACCCCCTTGCTGGCTTTAATGTAGACACTCTGCTGGTGTGCACTTTAGACCTGATGGAGGCCGGGACTGAGTCAACTACTACGACTCTGCGCTGGGCCATGGTCCTCATGATGAACTACCCAGAGATACAGGGTTAGTTCTTCACAGAGGGTGCAATGATAAGACCACTGTGGGGTTTGGAGGTTTTACTTCAGAGATCTGTCACTGCACTGTAAACAGCACAGATAAAATGCAAAGGTGGTTTGACATCAGCTTCTGTGCCTAAACAAGAAGTGACGCTTACACCATATTTATAATTATAATATGATCAGAAACTAGTCAAACTATTTAAACCATTCTCTCAGTAGAAGGGTATGTGCACAGGGACCCTGCCATAGTAGCCAACTATTTCCATATCCTTAAGAAAAAAATATCAATAAACAATTTAAAACTAAATATTACAGCTTCGTTTGAATAAAAATGGGTAAATAGGAAGCTGAATGGTTTTGTAGCGGTTACTTGTGTATTGATATTTAAACCAGACTTTGCAGTTTATGCTTTGTCTCTCAGCCAAAGTGCAGGCAGAGATAGACGCTGTGATCGGACAGTCTCGACAGCCCACCCTCACAGACCGCCCTGAGATGCCCTACACAGACGCAGTGATCCATGAGGTGCAGAGATTTGGAAATATTGTGCCTCTGGGATTCCCTAAAATGGCCAGTAAAGACACCACATTGGGTGGATATTTTATACCCAAGGTAATTTGTGACTGTATTATGTTTCTAAATTGTTTTGGAGTTTAGGTTTCAAGGTAGAGTTAGATTGCTTTTTTGTTGGTTCATCATCAGCACCATTTACATTAAGGGCCTGTAGTACATTCAGACCATATCATTCAAATTCAAAGTTGGCTTTAGCAATAGGCCTGAAAATGAAATTAAATAGTAAAACCTGACAACACAAAGATAATGTGTAAGTAAGGGTTTTATAGAATAAACAATGAATACTTTGTTTGTAAAACACTTAATGCACTCTTTCAGGGAACAGTCACAACCTCAAATCTTGCATCCGTGCTTTTTGACAAGAACGAATGGGAGACGCCTGATGTGTTTAACCCTGGGCACTTTCTGGATGCAGAGGGACGTTTCCAAAGAAGAGATGCATTTCTTCCATTTTCTGCAGGTACATTTCTCACATGTTACGACTGTGCATCTTAATTATTGTTTGTAAAAGAGTATGATCTCTCTGCAGGTAAGCGTGCATGTTTGGGGGAGCACTTAGCTAAGATGCAGTTGTTCCTGTTCTTTTCGGCAATAATGCAGCGCTTCACTCTGACCACACTCCCTGGAGAGATGCCCAGTCTGGTCGGGGTCCAGGGGTTCACAAATGCCCCTGAACAGTTTCGGGTGATGGCAGTGCCACGCTAGACCTGGAAAAAATATGGAAAACGTATTACCATTATCAACACCTACAGTAATATAACACCAGCATGTACATGTATCTACATTTAAGTAAACTTGAATTCACAGAGCAATCAAAGGCAGAAATCATTGTACTATAAATAAAGGAGCAAAAATATGTAGAAATATTTCATGCATTTTAGTGTAATTTATGTAATATTAAGTGACATTTTTTGAGAGAATGGTTTTAGGTTGAAAATTCACATGACATTTGAACCAGATTTTTAACTTGACCTAATGCTGCAGTTACACTTGACCAAACTGGCAATAACACTGCACTAAGTTCACTGTGAAACTGACTTATCTGACAATAAACATTTGCTTGGTGCCATTTAACAAACCTTTGCCTCTTACCTTGCTTTTCTGATAAGATACAAATAAAGTTTATTTATACAGCACTTTTATAGACATAGGTCACAAAGTGCTTCACATGCCAAAGGTAAAAAAAAAAAACCTCAGATACATTTATAATAACATCCGTCTTAACAGCCCTAAACATAAGGAAACACGGGGGGACACTTGCTCAAAGAGGAACGTTTTCAGCTGCCTTTTAAAAGTATCTACACTATGTACAGAGCGTAAGTGAGGAGGCAATTAGTTCCAGAGTTTAGACAGCTTGAAAGGATCTGTCTCCTTGCTTTTTGAAGCTGCTCCATACGACCATAAATGACAAGCATCAATGTATTCATGTGATAGTTTTAACATGAGACAAATATGAAGATCGTTCTTTTTCTTTTTTTTTTAGAATTGCATTATTACCCCCCTTTCTCAAGATAAATACCAAGAGGAGGCCTGGGTACATTTTTCACTTATAATGAAAATTTATGTGTTGTCAAAAAATCAGTCAGCATACAAACTAGTGGAAAGAATAATTCTGAAATAAACAATATTCAAACCAGATATAAACCACATAAAAAATAGGATTATAAATACCTAGACCAATACAGAACTATAATGGATAATGCAATATTAGTAAATTAGGTTCAAGGTCCAAAAATATTTAGAGTCACGAGCATAAATTGATCTTTATGTTCAGACTGATGAAGACATAAGAACTTCACAGATGTGACTTAAAAATGTATAATTTAAATTTATTCAACACTAAAAAAAAGGGCAAATGGAACAGGTAAAATTACTTATTCTATAAAAAGGGAGACAGGCAGATTGTTAAAATAATAAAAAGACAAATTTCATAAACGGTATTAAAATAAAAATAAAACCTTGCAGCCCCTGGGCGGAATCTGCAACAAACAAAAAAATAAATGTTACAAATAAACCAAACAAGGACGACTTGAAAGGGGGTAGCCCCACCCAGAACAAAACAGAAAGTGCTACCATGCAATCACATCTAAAATAACTTAAAATCCAAAGTGCAAACAAAAAGGTACAGGCGAAACCCCTCTCAAGCACTTCCTGGGAACTTAAATAACTAAAAGCTAAAAGCCCAGGGACGGCAATGCTAAAAACACACATTTATTAAAAAGGCGCAATATATAGAGCTAAGATACTGACATAAAACAAAACCCTAAACAAAACAAAACTGTACAACAACAAAACAAAGCAATACAAAAAACTAAACAAAACAGTAGCAGACCACTTTAAGATAAAAAGGACAGACTGAGATTAAAACTGTGTTAAAAACCCTGAGTTAAAAAGATGGCAGATGCTATTTGCACCCTGGGTGTAAATAGCTAACATTGTTATTCACACATAGGACAAATAGCCACTGTTGCTATTTACACCCGGGTGTATTTAGTGTGGCACACAGAAGGGCACCCGGGTGTTTCAGCTTATTTATAAAAAACAAAAACAACAAAAAAACCTCACTGACAGTGCAAACATAAAGGCACTAACCCAGAGAAAACCAGTAATATTTGATGTTTTGTTTTTTTTTACTCAAAATGATGCGGAATCATCGATCAATTGTAACTACTGCCCACTTAATACTGAAACACTTAGAGGATCCTTCATCATATGCCAGAATATTGTTCATGGATTTTAGCTCAGCATTTAATACAATATTACGGAGTATTCTGCTGAAGAAGCTGTTAGATCTGGGTGTTAACAGTCATATTATTAAGTGGTATTGGGCATTTCTTACAGGGAGACAGCAACAAGTTAAGGTTAATTCAGCGCTGTCAGATATTCAGGTTGTCAGCACTGGGGCACCACAGGGCTGTGTTAGCTCGCCTCTTCTTTTCACTTTGTACACCAATGCATGCAGGAGTAGACAGGTAAACAACTATATACTTAAATTTTCTGATGACACAGCTATTCTTAGTTTACTCAGTAAAAGCACAGATGCCATCAGCTACAGGACAGAAATTGATGAAGTGGTGCATTGGTGTGAGGAGCATAACCTTGTCTTAAATGTGGAAAAGACAAAGGAGATCATTTTTGATCTTAAAACTGTTAGGGACCACAGCCCTGTTAATATCAGGGGGAGGGACATAGAGCAGGTGACATGTTATAAGTACTTGGGTGTGTTATTTGATTCTCAGCTCCAGTGGAGCCAGCAGGTACAGTCTGTCTGCTCAAGAATCAGCCAGCGTCTCTATTTTTTAAGACGGCTTAGGTTACATGGAGTTGACACCAATGTAAAGCATGCATAGAATCTATCTTACGCTATGGCATGTCAACATGGTTTGGTGACCTGTCAGTCAAACTTAAAGCACAGATTTTACCTTGACTAAAAGAGCAGGTAAAATAATGGGTGTGGCCCCAAGCTCACTTCAGCTAATTTTTGAGGAGACTGTTAGGAAGCTCGGCAGGAAGGTGATCAATGACCCAACCCATGTTCTTCACAGTCAGTTTGAGTTGATGCCATCAGGCAGAAGGTACAGGGTCCCAAACTGTAAACTGAACAGATTCAAACATTCTTTTGTGCCATTAGCTGTTAATCTGCTAAACTCAGATAGTGCAGTTAAAAAATTATTATAAAAGGCTTAGGGATTGTGCAATCAAAACTGCACATAGGTGTAGGGAATGTGCAATTAAAACTGCACATAGGCTTAAGGAATGTGCAATAACTAATAGAACAGAAGAATACAAGGGCTTGCCTGTTAAGGATAATTTAAGAGTCTTGTTGGTG